GGCGACCATCTGTGTGGATTTGACAAATTAAGGCCACGTCAGATGAAGGTAAACGTGCGGGCTGGCTTCAAGTACTAAGTAAGAACTGCAACATTACACCCTTGAAAGCCACACAAAGCCCATCGCAGCAACCCGTGCCAACTCTTGGAAACCAACATTGCCAAAAAACGTGTTCACTTGGAACGCGCCGATGTGGTCAGCTGGAACACACCAAGAACACACAATCATTGCCAGGCATCCAGGCTGGGAGAGAGCCGTCCCAGGCATCCAGGCTGGCAACCGGGGAGAAATAAAGTGAAAAAAGGGAGACAAATGAATCCGTCCACTCACAAAGCCGTGCCAGGCATCCAGGCTCGGAGACAACAAGAGACAAATGAAGGGAGACAAAGGGAGAATGAACCCGCCACCCAAAAAGCCGTGCCAGGCAACCACCAACATGGAGGCAAATGAAGGGACACAAATGAATGCCAGACATCCAGGCTGGGAACGCTTGGAGAGCTGTGCCAGGCATCCAGGCCGGGAGACTGGGAGACAAACGCACCCCGAGAACGGGAGACAAACGGAAAAAACAAACACAAAGGGAGACAAAGGGAGACAAATGAACACGTCCACCCAGAGAGCCGTGCCAGGCACCAGGCTAGGCTGGGAGACAACGGGAGACAAATGAAGGGAGACAAAGAGGCAGGCTGGAACCGTCCACAGAGAGCCGTGCCAGGCATCCAGGCTGGGAGACAACGGGAGACAAATGAAGGGAGACAAAGGGAGACAAATAAACCCGTCCACCCAGAGAGCCGTGCCAGGCATCCAGGCTGGGACAAAGGGAGACAAATATTTAGTGCCAGGCATCCAGGCTGGGAGACAACGGGAGACAAATGAAGGGAGACAAAGGGAGACAAATAAACCCGTCCACCCAGAGAGCCGTGCCAGGCATCCAGGCTGGGAGACAACGGGAGACAACGGAAGGGAGACAAAGGGAGACAAATGAACCCGTCCATCCAGAGAGCCGTGCCAGGCATTCAGGCTATGGCTTGGCAATAGGCGAGTCACTTTAAATGAATTTAGAACCCCTCACAGTAAACTGTTTGGGGAATAAGCAAGCAAGCAAACAAACAAACAAACAAGCCAGCAAACCAACCAACCAAACAAGAAAAAAGCAAAAAACAAACAAATAAACAAACGAACCCGCCCACGCACCCGCACGCACCCGCACGCACCCACACTCGCGCGACCCCTGTTTGAAATTGCTTGTTTTCTGCCCAAGGTTTCCGGGATTGGCTGGGCCCTTTTCCAACATTGACCGTCTCGTTGAAGGGAAGATCATGGATGTCAGGCAGGTGCCGAAGAGGATGTCATCACATGTGCCATGGTCAAAATGCCCCCTTTACTTGGGGTTGGCAGGGATGTTCCTTCACCTTTGAAAAGGCTATCAATGCAACCAACATGAATAAGATTCCTGTCAAGGGAGTCATGATCATGACTCCAATGAGGACTCTGACCATGGCACAGAGGAGTCTGCAGTGTGTGCTATACCTCCCGTAAAGAGGGTGTCTTGTAATTTCCTCGTGAACGGGTCAAAATCCATTTCACACCAGTTGGGATAGATGACACCCGATACATACCGAGAAAAATCACCTACTGTCCACCAACATTCATTGTCAAGGGCCCCCGGCAGAGTTGCCCCCCAGGTCTTGGGCTTTCACTCAGGCCCCAAATCTTTCGGCGAGCGGGTGGCGGGGTAGCCCAGTGTGGAACCTGCAAGTTGTGTCGAGAATCCAAACGATTTTCCGAAGCCTTGGCTTTCGGCTTTGTCTGTGCATTCGGTGCTGACGCCAGGGAAAAGGCACATTTTGCCAGACGGAGGAGTGGGAGTTGGATGATAATATATCAGCAAGTTGCATTCCTACCAAGAAGCGAACACACTTTAAGGCACCAGCTTGTCATGGTCAAGGCAGGAGCTAAGTATACAGTTTGCTTAAGGCGTTCAAGACTTTGTTTCTTGATGTAGCGAATGAACTCATCACCTAGCGCTCTATTTCTCGAGGTTGTCAGTTGGGAACCGCCCGCAAAACAACGCTTGGCAGAGCATGCCATGACATTAAGGAAGGTGTTGCCAAGGAAGACATGGTTCGTCAACAAAAGAGCATGTTGCAGCTGAAACGGAAAGGCGCAAAAGGCGTCAAAGCCTTTAGAGAGAACTGCAGCATCTTGACTGTTCAGCCTTGACACGTTTGAAGCCTGTGGGTGTTTCCATGAGTTTCGTGTGAGGCGGGATATGGGGGTCAAAAAGGGTCTGTAGCCAACATTTGTTCGAACCCTAAGCAAACTGAAGAGACTGGTCTAATAAACGGTTGACGGGCTGCTTGTGAGGTGGCTTGCACTGAGGGGATGCGCCCGCAAAATGATTCACGACCTTGGAACTCTATGTGCGCAGGCATGCTCAACCTTGCCCCATGATAAAGGCTTTTGTGGATAGTTTGCTTCGATTCAGATTTTCAGTTCATGCGGACTCGGGCCACAGCCTTCCCGAACAGCTATTCCCGGCATTCGCGCGCAGCGCTCATAGGCCTCGCACTACAAAGCAGCGCTGCAGTATGTGCTCACCGAGACCTTCCGTGACCAGTCGGCGCTGGTCATCATGGCTGGAGCCTCAGCTTCTCAGTTGTGCTGCTTAACATCGGAATCCGAGCTCAGAACTCATAGTGGCTGCCCGGTGCACTATTACAATCGATCAAACACACACACACACACACACACACACACACACACACACACACACACACACACACACACACACACACACACACACACACACACACAACGCACGCACGCACGCACGCACGCACGCACGCACGCACGCACGTAGTACGTACGTACGTACGCACGTAAACACACACACACACACACACAGAAGAAACCAGAAAGGGGTGTGTTTGGTTTCACACCCAGCTTTTTTGCAGCAAACAACTGGGGAGCCTGTGACATGGCCCCCTTGGCCGCCGCAGATGGGGCGAAGCCTTTGCTGTGTACTATGAAGAGTCCACATTGCCCTTTGAGGCAGTCTAGGAAACGTGGGAGGTATGTACTGCTTGAACAGCCAACACAACCCTAGCCAGCGACTCCAGACCCAAATCAAAAGTCCATTGGCCATGTTAACTCGTTGTGTCACTTGACTGGCTACCACCTTCAGAGTTGCTGATTGAGTAGGCGATGGTTGCCTCAGGATGCCCGGCCCAACTTAAAAAGCAAGGTGGTGGGTTAGTTTGAGGCGCAACTTCATTGAACACAGTCCAATTGACTTTGATTATACCCGCATTGAAGACCACGTGTCTGATTTGCATACTATGCAAGTTCAACCATTGAAGCAGAAAACCCGCACAAGTCGGTGATAGCCATGGCAGACCTCAGCAGGGCCTCGGAGGCCACACTGGCAAAGAAGCTTTCAGAGATGTTGGCCGGCTCGGTGATGGTATATCCCAATCCTGTGGAAACAGAGATTGAGAAGCGCAAGGTGGCGTTCCTCGAAGATCGCGAGAACTTCTTCATTCTGAAGAGCGCTGTGGGGAAGACGCCTGCCGACTTTGAGAAGGTGTTGAAGAAGCTGAAGAATGCCAAGACGATTCGCAAGCTACACCTATACCCCATTCCTGGCTGGAGCGAGAAGGACCCTGTCTTTGATTTCACCAACTTCTCAGAGCTGCTCCGCAAGTACGTGCCGCGGGTGTGCTACTTTGGTGCCAGGCACATGTTGCTGAAGAAGTTTGAGTTAAAGAATTTGCCGGAGCTCAGAACAGTTTGCTTGACAAGCCCAGAGATGCAAGATGAGAAGTGGAACTTGGAGCTCCCCAACTTGGAGGAGCTCATTTTGGAGTGCCATGCCCCACCGGGGAAGCCCTTTGCCCAATCCCTCATCCAATGCCCAAGGATCAAATGCTTCTTTTCCCACAAGTACTGCGCAGATGCCCTTCTCGGCCTCTACTTGCCCAACTGTGAGGACTTTGCCCTTCGCCGTGCAGACTGCTTGTCAAAGATCAGTGTGTACTTGCCACGCTTGAAGAGCTTGAACCTGGATGCTGACTATGACCTGAAGGACATCACGTTCCTGAAGAAGGGGCATGCCAGTCACGCAGAGTTCAACTTACCACCTGACCGGCAGTCACGCTTCCGCCTCTCGTGCCAGAACGCCTTGCTGGGGCCGCGGGCAAAGCAGGCGTTGAGAAACAGCGGCCGCCTCCTGAACGCAAAGGCTCTCAAAGAGGATTTGGACGACTGCCGCTTCTCGGGGTTGCCTTTCGGATCCTTGGGGTCGGAAGGCGAAGATGAGGAAGATGAGGATTCGATGCACCACCTCCTTGGGAAAATGGTGAAGGTCACGTGTCTGAAGACCCGGAAGAATCTCATTGGAAAGGAAGGGAAAATCATCGAGATATTTGCAGAGAAAGAGCGCGTTGGTGTGCGTTTCGCACACGACGAATCCTTGGAGCTTTCAATTCACATAGACAATTTGGAGGTAGTGGAAGGGCCTCCAAGGAAGAAGCTCAAAAAGCTCCGGGAGGTGAATTGATCGGATTTAACTTACTGAGTGGGATGCCATGTGGCCAAGGCCTGCGCGAGAAAAGGGTTGCTTGAACTCTACTTAGCAGCGCTGCTGAAGCTACTTGAGCCTCAAAGAATGTATCCGCGTCAAAGCATACAAACATGTGCCAGATGTCCTGCAAAACCAAAGTGAGTGGTCAAACCCCCCACTACCCAACATCCAAAAGGCCTTCAAACATTGTTAAGGCAACGTACGTTTTGACCAGCATTCGCACCGAGTCAAAGTGTGGAATTCCGGGTACCTCGTACAGGTTCCAATTGCATACCTCGTTAATGGTTTCGACCCTTCCCAAGAATATTGGTCAACCGGGTACTCCAGAACGGCATTGAAATAGACAGTACATGAAACCATCAGCCACACACGCTCCGCACCTGTGTACTGTTGATTGTCATTACAGAATACTGTAGAACGGACAAATCAGATGGGGCACAACTATCCAGCATACTCTCCAGCATGGTTCAAGTGTTGTGCAAACAGGATCCAATCGCTTCAACAACCTCAAAGATGCAAGGGTGTGTGTTTGCGTTTGCGTGTTGGAAGCTAGCCTACATCAGTGTCTTATTGCATCAGCTGTAAGTTCACTACAAGACTTCCACAATGGTTGCATGACCTGATGCTTGCGGCACGTGCCAAACATCACTGAAAAGAAGTCGTGTGCAGCTTAAATCGGCTGAATGGCCTGGCGCGAATCGGCTGAATCCAAGACTTGAGCCACGAGAAACGAAGGACACAGCAGAACACGGATATACAGAAGGCAGTGAGAAGCGGGATGTCACCAGCCCCAAGCTGCAGCGAAGTGAAGGGCCCCTGTAGGCCAGTTGCGACCTGGGCCTTGACGGCAGTGCAGCGGGTTCACGTTCAAACTTGGTTTGCGTGTGTCAAGGAGGGCTCCCTACTGGTAGGGGAACATCTGCAAGAGCCAGAAAATGAGCAGTGCACTTCTGAGACGCTGGTGGCTACCCGTGAATTCCCGTTGTGCCCGTGCTGAGGAGGAGGATGTGGTGGTGTCGCAACATCCTTAGACGGCCACAGCTTCAAACAGGATGCCTACAGGAGATCCAAAATCGCTGCAGCTTCACCCATGGGCTTCGTTTGCTCGAAGCGTATGAACCCAGATAGCAATGGATAACGCGACGCACACGGATCCACTGAAGATACCTTTGCCGAAGCAGCGCGGGGTGGTTTTGTGTATGAACAACATCCTGCACTAGTTGGTAGGTAGTTGATCCATATTCCGAAGGCTTCACCGTGTGCCTTTCCCAAAATGGTTCAGGATTTTACGTCGGACCCACAAGCCGCAAGAAGAATCGTTTGGGGTTCCGGTCAGCAGCCACGTGGGGACTCGCAACTGTCTGGGCAGAGCTGGCGAAAGATGTGGCCCCGATGCCTGGGTACTACACCTCGACTCGGTAGGGTAATGTTGACCCCGGATTAGTAAACACCTGGTTGATTTTTAGGGGGGTGTCCGTGTCCCCTTTTAGAGGGGATTCATCACTTTTGGAGGGAACACCCCCCTAATAATGGGACAGGTTTATGAATCCAGGGTCAACATTAGAACGTAGTGGTCCGCCAGGATCACTTTGCCCCTGTTCCAAGCTCTCAATGTGGGTTTGCACCACGATGACCACCACCTACCACGTCGCCCGCACACAGAAGTGGAAAATGCCTAATGAAAGCATGTTCATGCAGTCCGAGCATCATGCACCTTGGCTGCGGGGAAGATGCAGGGGCAAGGCTTTTTTGAGGTGTCGCATGTAATCCTACCTGCATGATGCCCGGAAGCAATAAATTTAGTGTTGCTAGCTCCATGCTCCCTCAAAAAATCCGATACAGCCACTGCAAGAGACTGCATTAAGCTCATTTCCCTGCGAGGCAATTCTCAGTCCCGCATGGGTTTCGGCCTTGGACACTTGCGCCACAAGGCTCGACTTCCTCCTGTACTTCGCCCAGCTCAAGCCGTTGCTGCAGCACGAGGATCTGCTTGGCGTCGGGGGCCTGGAGCTTGCTGAAGCTCCGGCGCTGAGGGCTTGATGGGCCGTGAATGCTTCCCGTTCCTGTGGAGAACCAAAGCTGCTTGGAAGGAAAGCATGTTTTGGTTGCTTCTGGGGCAACGGTTCATGCTGCGGTCACAAGCAAAGTACTCGTACAGTTGGTTTCGCCAGAAGGCAAATATTCTCAGCGGTTCCGTGACGATGCCCCGCCGTTCCAGCTGGTAGACGCAGTACCGGTATTGCGGTGCCCAGCATGTTGAGGTTTGTGTATTCTCCCTTCCTATCCGAGTTCGTCATCAGCGGGTGAACTAGATGCAGGTGATGGTAATCCAACACGTGTTTGCTTACCTTGGCGGAATGAATCTTTGGCTGAGGATTGTGGCATGAGCTGAGCATGGAACGGGCAGTAGATCTGATTCTGGGCAAAGGCAGGTGCCACCAGGGAAGCAGCTTGAAACCCTGGCCATACACCAGAGCTTGTGCGCCTGGATATTGATTCCTGTAGAAGCTCAAGAAGTTGGTGTGTTTCCGTCAGCTCTCACGGTTCCTGCTGCACCAAGAGCGCTGGAAGGAAGATGGCCCAGTTCCGGTCCCAAACCCCTCCTTGACAAAAGGAGACCTGGGAGACCTTGGTCTTTTAGAAGACACGTTCTGCTGGTTGTCATGTTAATGGATGGGATGTTACGCTTGACTTCCTAAAGGTTGCAAGTTGACCAACCATACTTCGTGTGGATATGACTACAACAAAATGCCCTTTCTGACATTGTGCTTCCTTGCCCAGAAATCAACCGAAGGTCAAGAGTCTAGAGGCATCCTGGACCAGCAGTGGATGATGGTTGTTTGGTCCAACCACTATATGCTTCAAATCAGGGCAGATAGTCAATGATTTGGAGTTAGGGGCGAACCAAATGGAATCAACAGCAGACCGCCCAGATATTCTGTAACATTTTGTGACTTGCGCCTGAAACCTTACTGGGTGCCAAACAACCCATCGTTAGGGTCGTGAATTTTATTGGGAGCACCCTCAACAATGACTTGTGGACTGAAATGAGCAACGGTCACTAACCGTCATCTGGAGTCAGGGGAATGACGTTGGGTACTGGGCAACGCCAGGTGGCAACTGGGAAGTGGAGGTCACTCACTGCTACACTTCCCCTTCTGAATCATGCCCGCCACGAGGTCAAACAAACTCGCTTCACGCCATTCATGCCTGTGGGTATGGGTCAAAATTAAGCCACCAGACCGCGGGTATTAGACAGCTCGTCCATTTAACAGGGCTCCATTTTGGGGATTAATTGTTTGGACCCATTCTTCATTCCCGGACACCCGGGGAGAGGTCAGCGCCTGGAACGAGAACGCCCTGGGGCCCTACAGTGCCTCGCGCCAGCGCCTGCTGCGCACCTCGGCCTACGCGTTCGCCTGCCCGAAAAACAAGTAAGGAACCCGAAGGGGGCTTCCCCAAAAAGAGGTTCCTCTAAAAGTGATGGTGGTTCGGGTGACATCATTATTGCAGGTGAGTATCCTTTTTCTGTGAGTGGGGAGAAAGAAATGGAATCAAATGGACATATCGAGCAAAATGCTGCCACATTGTTCCCACACTTCTTTGGTGCCCTTCAAAAAACCGAGAAACAGCAAAGGCACATGCTTTTTCCCGTGGCCAGTGGCCACTCGGGCCTTTGGGGCGTGCTATGAATCCCCGGGTGCAACCTGTTCATGACGGGTTTCACTGACAGGTGGGCCGGGGAAGCACGCGCATCACTTGATTTGCCAGCTAGATGGAAAAGCCAGTTTGTTGGATTTGTCTCACGGTATGTTGGCTGTTTGGTTTCGTGTTCCCAGCACTTTGTCACGAACTGCGTCGTGTTGTTTGCCAGCATGTGTTATTTGAAATTTATATAGTGGCGGTCAGTGTCAAATTCGCCACTTGGCGTCCGTGGTTTGTTTCGCTTACTTATGGCTCAAGGCACCGATTGAATGGAACATTCATTCAGTTGGACTCGAGATGACTCGAGAGAACAAAAACTGAAGCAAGCGTTTCGTGTGTCTCTTGATTGGACCTGGACTCAAGGGGTTTGAGAAGAAGGATGTTACGGTGAGCTTACATGAGATCTAGATATCTAGATATGTGGATATAATAATATCAGTATATAGAGAGAAAGAGAGAGGGATGGCGCTCGCCCTGCTTCTCTCAAAACCTGTTGTGCCTCGTCGATTGCAGGGCAGAGCACTTTATGGAAGTTGTGTTCATGTTTGTTTTCGGTTGTCTCATCAAATCAATTCTGTGTACCGCAGCGGTTGGGAAAAGGCAGCAACATGCAATGGGAGATGCCAACTGAGGCGGTCGTCGAGCTCGTAAGCATGCACACACCCCAACGGATAGCTCAGAACCTGCCAAGGCGCGCATGCAACAAATGATAGGCGCGCTCGTCAACTGACAGCCCCATGCTCACTCACAAGCGCATAGCAAAAGAGGAGAACAATAAGCACACCTGCCAAGTGACCAGAGGCCGAATCCTGCAAGTCTTTGTATCGCGCACCATGTTTTCTTATACCAGCGACATGTTAGGTGTTGCCAAGAACTCGAGCGCCTTGAGCATTGATGGAATTAAATCCGAATTGTGTGTGTCACCGGCAATCTGGGGAACTAAAAGGCGAAACGGCCCGGTAAGGGCGTTTGCGATCGTGGGGCTCAGTTGTGTGATCTTCTTCATGGCTCAAGCTTAAAAAAACGCCTTTGCTCGTAGGTGTCCGTTTAGGTCAATTTGGTTAAAGATAAGTTGATGTCACTGGGTTCAGTTTGGTTTCAATGATTTGCCAGTGCCATGTAAATACAACACTAAATGGATGGATTGCCAATAACATATCGCTTGTTGAAAATGGGAGCCCTGCCATCTATTCCAATGGGAGACCTCAGGTGTGGACTCCTTCTCGGGTGTGGCCTGGATGGTCTCCACGCAGCGCTTGCGCCCGAAGCCCAGGCTTCCCTGGTGGTTTCGCGGGCTTCCCTGGTGGAAGTTGGGTTTGTCAGAGCTCTTTGTTTCTGGTTGTTTTTTGGTAGGGATTCGGGACCCACTACGGCGCAATTTCGAATGGCCAATGCCAAAAGGGCTCCAATTCTTTGTCTAGCACCGGGCAACTGAGGCCAGCAGTTCAAAAGTGGGGACACCAGATGCTCAATCTATAATGGGAATGATAAATCTACATTTGGTTGGTAAGGGGTGTTTGCAGGGATCCTGGACTAGAAGGAAATGCCCTCCTATGAGTCCGCCAGTAGATTCTCGGGGAGCGGGGCAACCCGAATTGCCAGCCAAAGGCAAAAGATATGCAATCACTTCAAGGGAAGCTCCCCCATCAAAGCCAGGCTTTTATCCTGGGTGCTTTGGTGGAGCTTTCGATTCCATACCAGAGTTCCACACCACAAGTTCGCCTTTGTCGTGTCATCTTTCAGACTAGTTTAGAGCTTGTCATCGCCGACTCAGGCTTGGCAAGCGCTTTGGAGAGGCCAACCATGGTTTAATCAGGCGGTCTGCATGGCATGAATGCGCACGGAAGGGGAACGAGCCAAGGTGAGCTGTTGCCGAAATGGCCGCGGAACTTTTGGCAGAAATTTTTGGGCCGCGGACTGAGAGTGCTTTCGGACTTCGGGTAGATGTACTGGTTGTGAGACATGCTCAACAAGTCTGCGCATCCGCCCTCAGGGGTGTCTCTGTGCAACCGCATGCCGTTCTGGGCGCAGGGAGAAAATCTTCTCATGCCGCAGAGGAGAGCAAGCTCAAGAGCCGCATCCCAGTTTCGGAGCCATGGACGTCGTTGGAGTTCAGCCTTCCGACCTTGACGTGGATGCAAAAGGAGATTTCGGCCCAACTCCGTCGAGCCGCGTTTCCCAGCAGTCAACGCTGCAGACGGTGCGGCACAGGCTACAGAAGCTCGCGAGCCGGCTGCCGGATCAATGCAACGAATGCGAGCCGTCGCTTTCTATGGCCTGGAAAGACCTGAACTTCTCCATCGGCAAGAGGCAGATCCTGACAAATGTCACCGGCATCATACATCCCGGCCGTCTTACAGGAGTTTTTGGCCCCTCCGGAAGCGGCAAGTCCACCTTGCTGAACATCCTTGGTGGCCGGCAGAATACCAAGGCATCTGGACACTCCCTGTCGGGAGAGATCAGCATCAATGGGACGTCGATCGAGCCAGTGCAATTTCGGCAGCACATTGCCTATGTCATGCAAGACGATGCGCTGCCATCGACTGAGACTCCCCGGGAGTGCCTTCAATTCTCAGCTCGCCTGCGACTGCCAAGGGAGGTCGGGTCAAAGGAGTTGGACTCAGTGGTGGAGCAGCTTCTCGCGACTCTGAACCTCAGTCGTTGCGCCGATACTTTAGTGGGTGGTGCCATAGTCAAGGGCATCTCCGGTGGGGAGAAGAAGCGCACCGCTGTTGGAGTGGAGCTCATCTCAAATCCTAAGATGCTCTTCTTGGATGAGCCGCTGAGCGGCCTCGACTCTTTCTCCGCCAACCGACTGACAGAAGCTCTGAAGACTTTGGCTGAAGCAGATGTTCCAGTGCTTTGCACCCTGCATCAGCCCAGCTCGCAGATCTTCGCCATGTTCAAGGATGTCGTCATTTTGCATGCGGGAGGCGTGGTGTTCCACGGGCCTGCGGAGCAGCTGGCGGGCCACTTCGAGGGCCTGGGATATCCGTGCCCTGAGAGCTTCAACCCGGCAGATCACGTCATGTTCCTTCTGCAAAAGTCCGATGCAGATGAAATCCAGCAAGTGAAGCAGGAGTGGTTGAGCAGCCGCCTTTGCGCGGACATGCTGGCAAGCCTGCGTCTCAAAGGTGAGAGCCTGCCAGGTGAAGCTGCTGTGAATCCAAGCTTCTGCACGCAGCTCTTCCTCCTCGTTCGCCGGGAAGTTCGCAGTATGATGAGAAATCATCGCACCTTGCTCTTCAGGCTGTTCCTGTGCGCCGCACTGTCGGCTGGCACTGGCTGGCTTTTTGCCGGAAGCGGTTCTCGCGGAGATGATACGGGAGAGTGCGGTGACGACTTCAGTGCTGCGCAGTGCACAACCGACTTCCAAGCCCATTACGGTGCGGTATCTTCCCTGGCCATTCAGGCTTTGATGGGAGCAGCTCAGCCAACCCTGCTTTCTTTCCCACAAGAGCGGCCAACGTTCTTGCGGGAGTATGCCTCCAACCAATATGGGGTCGTTCCCTACTTCATTGCGAAGACTTTGGTGGAGCTGCCGGTGCTGTTGGTGTCAACCTTGATCATTCTGCTGGTGAATTATTGGCTCATCGGGCTGGAGGGCTCGTTTCCTCTGCTGGTGCTGGTGCTGTGGGGGTTGGGTTTGGCCTCCTCCTCCACCAGCTTTCTGATCGGCAGCAGCGTGGGCTCCGCGCAGCAGGCCATCCAGCTGGCGCCCCTCACCTTGTTTCCCCAGCTCTTATTCAGCGGCCTGCTGCTGCCCATCTCGAAGATCCCCGTCTCCCTGGGCTGGCTGCGCTGGGTGTGCCCTCTGAAATATGCCATCGATCTGGTGACGGTCGTGGAATTCTGGAGCATCTATGAAAGCATCTCCGGCTGCGAGAGCACTCTAGATCGAGAGCGGTGCATAGAAATGATGCCTGGCGACTACCTCCGGGCATCCTTTGTAGACAACCAGAATGTTCAATTTGACCAATGGCCACAGAATCTTGCAGGCTTGCTGGGTCTTGCGATAGGGCTCCGACTTTTGGCTGTACTAATGCTGCGGCGTAAAGGCAGATATGTGTACTGAATGTAAAGGTTGACGTGCTGGAAACCTCGCACACAAGTGGTGAGTTTTTAGCCTGGCCAGAATGGAGCTGGCAAGGCTGCATGAGGCCCTCAATGCAGTCGCTCGAATTAATTCTCACTGCAGACACGAAAGCAGCACGAAAATGGAAATGGTCGCCAGCCGAAGGTCCTAGTCTCAAAATCACTCAACAATTTGATCTCAATTCAAAGCCGACTCTTGGGTCATGCCCCCAAAGGCCAACCTTTCGATCCAGTTCACAACCGAGTCTCAATCAGGCTTCAAGAGGTGGCCTCATGCATGGAGCGGGGCTTTCATATAAAGAGGTCGCTTTTTTGCCAGTGAGTACGAGTTCTGGCTTTCACTCGACGATATGCACTCAGGCAAGGTGGGACGAGAAGGACGTCAGCTGCGACCTCAGTTGGTGTCCACTCGGCCACGAGCGAAAAGCGTTGGCTGCAGTGAGACAACTCCCCCTTTGCAAAAAGGCGTGCCACATTTTGCCTTCAGTAGCTGGCATGTTTCCCCAAATTCTGAACCACCCTCAGTGGGGTGGTCCATCGTTTTGGAGGTCTCAAGACGAAAGACCAACTCATCCCCCAACCTCGCCTGAGGTTCATCATTCCGGAGCTGCCGCGGGTGCAGCATGCGGGCGGCGACCGGCAGGAGCAGGGCGAGCCCAGAATGGCGGCGGAAAGAAGGAAGTCAACATGATCCACTGCAAAGGTCCGCATAAGTTAAATGAGGTCCGGAGGGTATGAATATACCAAGTCGGGTACCGTTAGACCAAGTTAGACCGAGTGAACCAAGTCAAGATAGCTGCTAAATGTCGGTACGCTGTTTTTATCTTAGCCCCTGATACCATCCCTTCCAGTAGCATGGAACGTGTGGGAGCCCATGCTGGAAGACGAGGCCTCCTCTCAAGAAGAAACAAAGGCAGTGCGAAGGGACAACAGCGGGGGCCTCATTCAGGTTCCATCGTTGTTTGTGGCAGGATACGCGATCAAAATGAGGCTGCACCCTTGCGAGTTCTCGTTCATTTGTGGATCACTAGATGTAAGAATGAGCCATGCATTACGTTTATGTTGCCGCTGCTGGCTCGTGACATCCAGCACAGGCGGCACAACCTGCAAGCTCATGTTGATTCAATAATGGAGAGGCTAGAGGATTGGATAAATTGCCCAACTCTTATTCCAGTATTGCAGAGGATGGCAATGATTGGAGACCTGGTAAGAGCCCCTTTCGCTTGGCCCCACATGTTGTATCACATGGAGCAACTGCGCGACACTGTACTTTCCTGTCCGTCCTCGCCTGCCTTTGTTCGCTGCCTTTCATTCCCTTTCTCTTTTCTTGTCCTCGCTTGCTTCCTTCCCTTGTCTGAAAGGAACAACCAAACCTGTGCAACCCTTGAACCACGCATTCCTCATCCCACGTGATTCAGCATCAAAATATTATTATTTCAAATGAAGAACAACAAAAATCTTGGGACAGCTTAACGCCAACAATGATACACATCCAAAACTGCAGACCAAGTCTACTGCGGTTCCCCCAGCTGCGAACCAACCAGCTCCGAACCTGTCCTTATTGCAACGAGGGACGGAGGCCCGCTCTTCAGCACCTCACGCCGCAGACCCAGAGATTCCGTGACTCATGGTCGTGTTGTGGGATGGCCAATGTCAAACTCGTTGCTTAGAAGGACCGCTGGCTAGAGGATCATCTTTGTATTGCTTAGCCACCCCCCCCCCACAACAAAGGGGGGGGAATTGCTTCGCCAAGCAGATGCCACTGGCGCCCAAGAATGGTGAAAACATTTTCCCACAATTTCTAGCACTCTCGGTACAGAAAGCTCACCCGTGAGGGATCCTTTCTCAGGGAAGCTCTTTTTGATGGTGAAGAGAAAGCCCAAAGAAGCCACCCTTAATTTGGTGACAAGCGCAAACATGTTTTGTTTGCAACGGTTTTGGAGTAGCCATGGCTCGATGTGTTGAGGCTGAACAGCCTCCTCAAGCATTCAACACCTGAAAGATGTGAGTGTTTTCTCCAATTCGGAAACATCCCTCTGCTGCCCTTGAGAGCAGCTGCCGGCTTGATCAGGTTCACAATGCTACCTGTCTGACCATGTACGAACTTGGTTCCACTTAGGGCATACATGTTTGATTTGCGCAGGACGGAAAATGGCACCTGCGGCGATTTGTTAGTTGTGAGAGGGATCCCGGATGCTTTCAACAGAAATTAAGCTGTGCGGGGGGGATTCCTGTTGCCAGCTTCTCGCAATGCTGCGGCCAATCTCGGAACATTCCTTAAATGTCGTAAGCAGTGTGCAAAACGGAACTGACAAACGTTGGCCATGGCTTCAACTTTGCTGTCAACACGAGGGCTTTTGCTGTGTCACTCTGCCCAAGCACTGAGCTTCAGGCGACCTCAGAGACGCTGCTCGGGCCCAAAGTGGCCACAGGGTGAACAGCGTTTTGAAACTTGGTACCTTTTGGGGGGCCGGTTTCAAACGGGAAACATGCAAAACCTGAACACACGCCCGTATGTGGGACTCTTCCAAGCTTGGTTGGATCGCCCAAATGGCAGCGGCTTCCTTTTGCTTTCCTTCGAAACCATCCAAAACAGTGGGGTTTTCGGGTTTAGG